AAAACAAAGAGAAAGAGAGAAAGCAGGAACGAATAGGAGGAGAAGGAGGAGTGAGGAGGAGGAGGAGCATGAGGAGGAACATGATGATGATGCTGATGCCGATGCTGCTGCTGCTGATGATGATGATGATCATGATGATGATGGTGGTGGTGGTGATGATGATGCTGCTGCTGATGATTATGCTGCTGCTCATGATGATGATGACGCTCATGATCATGATGATGATGGTGGTGGTTGTGATGAGGATGATGATGATGCTGATGCTGATTATTCTTGGGCTTACGCCACACCGCCGACCCCTTGGGGGGGCTCGCAGCGCGTCGCCTTCGCTCAGAATCTGACCGCTGGGGACGGGATGGATAAGGCCCGCGTTTACAGACGTGAGCCATTTATCGGACAGTCAGAAAGAACATTACAGGAGAACGGGCCAAACGCATCGCCCGGTCATGTGCCGCGCGTGCCACGAAAAATCGGAGGCCCAGATTTTCCGTTGTGGAGCATGCCCGACGGGGGCGGATGGGAAGGCGCCCGCGTTCACAGACTTGAGCCATTTGTCCGATAACCAGAAAGTACATTATAGGAAGACGGGCCAGGCGCATCGCCCAGTCGTGTGCCGCGCGTGTCACGATGCGCGCACGGGGGCGAAAAAGTTTGAATGCTCCGCGTGCCCACCGAACGGGGACGGGAAGAAACCAGCGTTTTCAGACGGGGGCCATTTGTCGAAAGACCAGAAGAAGAATTATTTCAAGCGAAACAACCCAGTTGTGTGCGCGAAGTGTTTTAAAGCGGGACGAGCGCCGCGGAGAGACCCTCCGAAACGCCCGGCGGAACCAAGTGACGAGCATTGCGACAAGGCACGGAAGTTGCGAGGAATCTGACCGCTGGGGACGGGATGGATAAGGGGGACGTGGAGGAGGGAGGATGGGGGAGCAGCCAAAGGCGGAGAAGGTGAAAAGTGAGCCAGTGGAGGGAATACGAGACAGAAAGCTGAGAGGGGAGACGGGAGGAGGGGGCGGAAGTGGAGGATGAGAAGGAGCAGGAGAACACGACGAGGACGACAATGGCGGCGACAGACTCGACGGCGTAGGCTGGGCACCTTTTTGGGGCCATCTTGGGGGCTTCGTTGACCGTTGTGGGAGCCTCTGGCGCCGTCGTCGTGAGAATCCTCTCGGGGGCCTGCGGGAGGCAGTTTGGAGGCTTCTGGGGAGCTGTTTTGGGGCAGCTTGGGGCTTTTTTTGGGCTTGTTGGGGGCCTCTTGGGGGCTTCTTGGAGCCTCTTGGAGGCCTCTTGGGGCCTCCTTGGCGCCTTTTGGGGCGGAAGGCTAGAATTTTAGGTTCGTGGTCCCCGTCTGGAGCCTTTCTTGGGCCCCTCTGTGGGCCCTCTTGGACTGTCTGAAGGCCCTCTTGAGCCGTTTTGAGGCGCTCTTGGGCCGTGTTGGGGCCCACTTGGGAGCCTCTCGGGTCGTCTTGATGCCGTCTTGGGGGCTTCTTTCGCCGTCTTGGAGCGTCGGAAGCCCGAAAAAACGCGAAGGCCAAAAACGTTGAAAAAACCAATGGAAATCGACGATTTTGGCCTCTTGGGGCCATCTTGGGAGGCGTCTTGGAAGCTTCTTGGGGCGTCTTGGAGGCATCTGGGGCCATCTGGAGGCCATCTTGACCGTCTTCGAGTGTTTTTTCGGCGACTCGGGGCCCTCTTGGACCGTCTGCAGAGCTTCTTGGGAGCCTCTTCGCTCGTTTGCGGCCCCCCCAGCAGACTCTCTGGAGCGGATGACCCCCCCCGGACCGCGCCGGCGGATCCCGGGGAATCCGGCCGGACCCCCCCCCCCCCCCCTCCAAAACGACCGGACCAGGCTCCGGGGGGAGGGGTTTGGGGAGGGGGGAAGCATCTCACACGCCGATGACCCCAAGGGGTCGGCGGATTATGATGATGAGGATGATGAGGAGGAGGATGATGCTGATGATGATGATGCTGATGATGATGACGGTGATGGTGATGATGATGACGATGATGCTGATGCTGCTGATGATGATGAGGATGAGAAGGAGGACGAGAGGACCAGTGTAGACCGAAGACTCATCTACGATGTCGGAATCTACCTTCCCTCCAAGGTCCCTCTTCTTTGGCCCCTGCAAGGGTTCATTTTCATTGAGGGAATACCCCATTGGGAGACAACCGTTTGAATATCATGAGGCGTGCCACAATACCACTGTCGGAGCTTCAACGTCACGAGTCAGCCTGACTGTTGCGTCTTGACGGTCCTGAAACGTGCCATCCTGGGATTTCAACATCGCGAATCAACTAATTGTTGCGCTCCGACAATCCTGAATCGTTCGGGAAAATCATTTCTGATGCGTTGACCATGGTAATACGTGAACTCTTGCAAGTGTTCTAACTACTGTGCGCGGCGCTAAGGCGAGCGCCACATTTTGCAAACGGCCCGCCCTCAATCCGTGAACCTCGTTCGCACATGTTTACAACTCATGTGCGCGGCGCTAAGGCGAGAGCCACTAGTTGACACCCCCCAGGCGTATGAGGCGCAGTGCTCATCAGCGCCACAGCAAGGCTCAGCTGCGGCTTGGTCGGGCGCGCGGGGCGCTCCTGCCAGCGAGCGTGCGGGCATGCAAGGAGATGGGTTCGTGGCCGTCGGGCTGCCCCGAAACGAGCGCCTCAGACCACAACGCCTTGGAGGAGGAGTATGAGTATGAGGAGGAGGAGGAGGGGGAGAGGGGGAGAGGGGTGAGTGGCAAATTAGGTGCGCTCGCGACAACATCTGACATCCTACCCCTCCCTCCCATCCCTTACCATGGCGCTGATTTTCTCTATCCGCGGACGCGTGTCGTAGCGGACCTGTGGCTCCGCGCGCGTGTGCGTAGTGGGTGGTGGTGGTGCGCGTGCGTGCGTGCGTGTGTGCGTGGTTGTGGTTGTTGTGGTGGTGGTGTGTATGTGTGTGTGTGTGTGTGTGCGTGTGTGCGCGTGCGCTGTGGTGTGACGTGGTGTGGCGTCTTGATGGTTCGGTGGTGGGCCAGGTGCGTACGTGCGTGATGGCGGTGGTGGTGGCGGTGGTGTGTGTGTGTGTGTGTCTGTGTCTGTGTCTGTGTCTGTGTTTGTGTCTGTGTCTGTGTCTGTGTCTGTGTCTGTGTCTGTGTGCGTGTGTGTGTGTGTGTGTGTGTGTGTGTGTGTGTGTGCGTGTGTATGTGTGTGTGCGTGCGTGCGTGCGTGCGTGCGTGTGTGTCTGTGTGTGCGCGCGTGTGATGTGGTGTGACGCGGTGTAGCGTGGCGGTGGTGGGTGGGGTAGTGCGGTGGTGGTGACGGTGCGCGGTGGTGGTGCGCGTGCGTGCGTGCGTGCGTGCGTTGGTGGGTGGAAGTGGCGGTGGGTGTGCGTGCGGCGGGGCGGGGCGTGGTGCGGCGCGGTGGTGGCGGGCGGGTGGGTGCGCGAGAAAGAGGCCCGCGCTGGGGCGAGAACGCCATCCTGCACGACGCAGGCAAAACACCGATCCGAAAATTAGGCCCACGCTGCAGCGGGAGCACGATTCGGAACGATTCGGGAGCAGAAATGAGGCCAGCGCCTCAGCGAGAGCAGCATTTTGAAAAAAACGCAGGCGACAACCCAACTCCGGGGAATCGTGTGTGTAAAAACACAGTACGCGGGGGGGGGGGGGGGGAGGGGGGGGCGAATACGCAAAAGACGTCATCACGGGAAAGAGGAGAATACTATTCATATTGAGTAATTGTGGAGGGGGGGGGGGAGGGGGAGGCAGGCAAGCTAGGTGCGCTCGCGTCATATCTGACGTCCTACCCCCCCCTCCCATCCCTTACCATGCCTGATTTTCTCTATCCGCGGACGCGTGTCGTAGCGGACCTGTGGCTCCGCGCGCGCGTGCGTAGTGGTTGGTGGTGCGCGTGCGTGCGTGCGTGCGTGCGTGTGTGCGTGGTGTGTGTGTGCTGGTGCTGGTGGTGGTGCTGGTGATTGGCTGGCTGTGGTGCTGGTGCTGGTGCTGGTGCTGCTGTGGTGTGTGTGTGTGGTGTGTGGTGGTGGTGCGGCGCGGTGGTGGCGGGCGGATGGCGCGCGAGAAAGAGGCCCGCGCTGGGGCGAGAACGCCATCCTGAACGACGGAGGCAAAACACCGATCCGAAAATGAGGCCCACGCTGCAGCGGGAGCACGATTCGGAACGATTCGGGAGCAGAAATGAGGCCCGCGCCTCAGCGAGAGCAAATTTTGAAAAACAACGCAGGCGAAAACCCGTTTCCCGGGAATCCTGTGTAAAAAAACAGTACGCGGGGGGGGGTCGGCTATCTTCGGGACGCCATCAGGGGAAGTGGGAGAGTATTTTCATATTGTGTAATTGTGGAGGGGGGGGGAGGGGAGGGGACGGGGGAACGGGACGGGGACGGGGACGGGGAGGGGGGGGGGGGAGGGGGAGGGGAGGGGGAAAGGGGGAGGAGGAGGGGGAGAGGAGGGAGAGGAAGGAGGCGAGGAGGAGGAGAGTGGAGGAGGAGGAGGAAGAGGGAGGAGGCGGAGGAGGAGGAGGAGGAGGAGGAGGCACTGCCCTGGCGGGCGCCCCGCTGCTCAAGGGGGCGGCGGCTTCGCCGAAAAAGTCCTCAGACGAAGAAGTCCTCAGACGTCCTTCGTCTGACGAAGAAGTCCTTCAGAATCCCCAGTGGCGAAGAAGTCCTCGGACGAAACGCCTGCCCGCCCTGTCGACGCATCTCGGGGTGCGATAGGGAGGAGTTAATTATAAGGAAAATGGAAGGAGAAGGAGGAAATGGGAGGAGGAGGAGGAGGAGGAGGAGGAGGAGGAGGAGGAGGAGGAGGAGGAACGGAAGAGGAGGAGGAGGAGGAGGAGGAGGGGGAGGAGTGGAGGAGGGGGAGGGGTAGGAGGAGGAGGAGGAGGAGGAGGAGGAGGAGGAGGAGGAGGAGGAAGAGAATGAGGCGTCGGCGTTGGCGTCGGGGGCGGCGCTGACGACTGGCGGCGGCGACAGCCGGCGGCGGCGGGCAAAGGCGGCGACCGCCTCGCCGGCCGCGCGGCTGTCGCGGTGGGAACCCGCGCTTCGGGGGCTGCTGGAGCGCTTGGTCGCTGCCGACGAGGCGTTGGTGTTCAGCGGGGAGGGGGATCAGGGGCAACGATAGGGGGGATAGGCATAGAGGGTGGCGCATCGACCCCCAATCGCCCATTCATCGCCGATAGGGGCCCGATTGCCACAACCTGCCCAGGAACGTGGTGATTCGCTATCGGCGGCCTATCGCCGATCTATCGGCGATGCATCGCCGATTCCAGGTCGATGTCTCCCCCCTATGCCAGTCCCCCCCTTGTCGTTGCCCCTCAGGGGAACGAGGTCTGGTCAGGAAGGATGTCGAGGAGGTTTGAGGGTCGAGGGGGAGGATATCAAGGTTCGAGGGTCCAGCGTGCCTGCTGAGTTTTTCCCTTCTTGCCACTTCCGAGCGGCATCCCTACGCAGGTTTGGTGCGATTGGGGCTCCCTGAGGAGCGACTTGCCGCATCCCGTGCCGGGGTGCAGATGGAGCGGAAGTGTGTGGGCAGCTCTTGGACCCCACATTCCGACATCCGCAGCTGTGCAAGCACGGCCCTGCGCGCATGCGGCCTCACAGGGCTCTCGCGGCAGCGCTGCGCGCGTACCGGGCGGAGGTCGACAGAACGCACGGTCCCTGTGCTGAGCCGGGAGAGGCGCAATGCTACCATAGAGGAATCCACTGTAGACGTGTAGGTGAACATTTTGGGCAGCGTGCAGTCGTTCTACATCGACGTGCCAGCCCGCTGCTCGCACGTGCGGCGTTACACCTCGCTATCACATGCCCAGACATTGCTGCTTCATCAGCGGCTGATGACAAGCGCGCGCTACGGCAACGCCGTGCTGGAGCCCCTTCTGCCGCCTCAGGACCGAGGCGCTCCGCTCGCTGGACCTCCTGGCCGCGCACGTCGGGTGCAGCCTGCGGGACGCTTGGACTGCGCCCTGGGTGTTGCCGCGCTGGCGCGCCGCCCTTGAGCAGATCGTCAAGTACGCCAACGCGGACGTCGACCCCCGGGGCCCCCGACCGATCGAAGGACCCGCGGTGATAGATGGATTTGATCATCATGGAAATGCTTCTGCAGAAACAGGAAAGAAGCTTGGTCTGCGCCCTGCCGAGTATAAGCCAGAGAAACAGTCGCATTTCTCCTGCAAGTGTCGAGGTTCCGGCGGGGGTCCCGCGACCAGCAGGAGTATTGGCTCGCGCCAGTCAGAATTCTAGAGAACGTGGAAGATCCTGAAGACAAACAACTTGTCTTTGGATGGTCCGCAGAAAAATTGCCCCATGCGTTGCCTTTGGCTGGGAAACGAAGGACATGCACTGCGCGCGCGCGGTTCTCTTTCGCGACCCGCATGAGGAGCTTGTCACAGAGTGCGACAGGTCGCTCTCCTGCGGGAAGGTGGTCTGCGCGTCCTCTCGTTTGCGACGTCCGCGGCCGCGCCCTGGTTCTCTCGTCCTCTGCCATGGCGACAGGTCGCGCGATCGCCCCCGAAGGTGGGTAGGCGCGGGCGACACGCCACGCGAGATTTCTCACGCGGCGAGCGGCGCGGCCTGTCGGGTACCCTTGGCGTCCTGTCTGGCGTGCGCCGCCCGTCGCGGGTTTGCGGGTCGGCCGCGGGTAACCGCGGTCGCGGCCTCGGCAGGGTACCCTGTGTGTCCTGTGGTTTTGGAGGCCATGTTGCCGTCGGAAGAGTCCTGTGTCCTGTCGCGCGTCCTGTGCGCAAGAACCCGCCTGTATGGCATTCAACTCCTGAGAGATTTTTGGCTACACGGGCCCTGGAGTGCACCCCGGCCGATGGTTCCACATGGCCAACGGTCGCGACGGATGGCGAAACGGCGCAGTAGGAAAATACGAAGCTGAGAAGTTGGGATTCTTTGCGATTGAAGACAAGGGGCCACGCCTCTGCGAGACATAGGGATCAAGGTAGCGAGAGTCGCTCAAGATGTCGCGGGCGACGCTGCTGTCGTAGGAGAACTATTACCAGATACCAGCCCGTACCATTCGACGATTGGTGGAATTGTTATCGGACCCCGACACTGAATCCGATGATGAGAAGAATTGGCGGCAACAAACGCGGCGCGGGGGAGCGATCCTCCTTGGCGGGGCGTCGCAGGTTCAAGCCGCGACGATCACCGACCCTGGGAATCGCCCCCCCCGAAGCGGGTTCGCCCGGCCATGGGCCAGGCGGCCGCCGCGCAGCGGCGCAGCGCAGGGAGTTTCTGGTCTGCGCGCCCGGGCCACCAGAAAAAAGTTGGGTGGCGTCATGTTTTTTTTGTTTTTACCTAACAGCGAAGACTGATAGGTTTCTAGTAGGGTCAAAAGAGAGCATCATGACTCCTCAAGGGGGTCGGGGCGGGACCCGGGGCGGCTGCCGTCGAAGCCCAAATCGCTTGGGATATCCTCGCAAAATCGCTCTTGGCGCTGCTAGAACGCCATTCCCGGCGTACATTTTGGATGCCCGGATCCAACTGTAGGCCACTTCGTGGTCTTCGAGTTCCCAGAACTCCATTCCCGGCGTGCATTTTGGATGCCCGGAGCCAACTGTAGGCCACTTCGTGGTCTTCGAGTTCCCGGAACTCCATTTCTGGGCATGATTTTGAATGCCCCGAGCCAACTGTAGGCCACTTCGTGTTTTTCTAGTTCCCAGAATTCCATTCCTGGGCCACATTTTGAATGCTAAGGCAGGCTGATGCTGCGGCCGAGGCAGGCTGAGGCTGAGGCAGGCCGAGGCTGAGGCTGAAGGCAGACTGAGGCTGAGGCTGAAGCAGACTGAGGCTGAGGCTGAGGCTGAGGCTGAGGCTGAGGCTGAGGCTGAGGCTGAGGCTGAGGCTGAGGCAGGCTGATGCTGGGGCAGGCTGAGGCTGAGGCTGAGGCTGATGCAGGCTGAGGCTGAGGCAGGCTGAGGCTGAGGCCGAGGCTGAAGGCAGACTGAGGCTGAGGCTGAAGCAGGCCGAGGCTGAGGCTGAGGCAGGCTGAGGCTGAGGCAGGCTGAGGCTGAGTCTGAGGCAGGCCGAGGCTGAGGCTGTGACTGCGACTGCCGTTGCCACTGCGACTGTCATCGCGAATGCGATTACGACTGCGAGAACAACAGAATTCTTCAACTGGATTCCCATTGGAATCTTAAGGGGAATGCTTCCTGATATGCTCCTACACATCGCTGTCAGGTTGCTTTGCCGGGATATTTTTCACGAAAGGTCACTACGGTAGCAAGTTCAGGATGGCCCCACATGGGTCGGCGGTTTCCAAAGATATCCCTGCGTGGGCAGATATTGGCAATACCACCCCTTTCAACCATACTGAAAGTCTCAATGTTACATCGTGGCCCAAGAGTCACGATCTTTTTGGGCGCGCAAAGAGAAGCTTGTTTCGCAAAAGATTGTGGCCTTCTTGCAAGCAGACGATAATTTCTGCGTTGGTCACAATGGATACCAATATGCCCCTCGGACGATCGCAGATACACGTGCGGAAAGCTGCGCAGTCTATGCATTTGGATGCGTCAGCGCCCCGAATGCAATGAGATGGCGGGGAGATCTCAAAACGCCCGTGCGCATCGTGAACCAACGTCAGTCGACAGAACAGATCGCAGTCTCCGAGGGAGAGGGCGCTCTAGATGGACATTGGACTCGGAAGGGGGGCAGGCAGCGGGCGATTTGTCTCAAAGCCAGGAATGAATGGCAACAGAAAAATGTTTTAGAACAAAAATGGCAGCTGTTCAAACAATGCATGAGGACTACGACGTCGAAGGCAGGCATGACTTGTCTCGTTGAGACAACGCGCTCATTTTCCGCATGGGCGGCCGAGCATGCAGAAGGCGCGCATCCGTTCCGATGAGAGGCGTAGTTTCGGTTTCTCGACGAGGTCCATGCCGCGCATCGCCTGGGGAACCGGCGACGCAAGAGTCGGCGAATGGCGGCCCGCAGCGCGGAGGCACATCGACCCGATGAAGCGCCGATGAGTTGCTCTTCTCCCTGCGCGCTCGGTCGGCCGCGTGCGTGAGACAACATGATTGAGCCATAGGACGGATTGCGGACACTGGGTGTAGCACCTCGCTGCAGATGGAACTGGCCCCCCGGCGGCCGCGCGATTAGCATGCGCACGCGCGGAGAAGATGGGGGGGGGGGGGGCAGCCCCACCCCGACAGCGGCCCACACTCCCGCGTCGAGCTTCCCAGCGCAAGTGCCAATGCGCAGCAAGCTTGGTCGCGAATAACTTACGAGTGAGCAAATATGAGGCGCAATGATTTACTAGACCTTGGCCCCCGTCGCCCCAACCTCTACGCTGACGAGCGCCAGCGCGCGGGCAAACCCGGGGCGGAGCTAGAAGCGGCGCGAACTGGATCAGAAAATGAGGGCGGCAGTCAAGGTTTCTGACTTGCTGGAGACGCGCATCGCGCGCCTGGGGTTCAGCCTCAAGTCCAAGATGCGCGCGGATCCCTGGCCGATGCAAATCGCGATGGCTGAGCTCGTCGTCGACGATAATTGACAAGGGCCATCGCAGGATTAATTATGAGGCGTGAGGGTGTTTGGTCGCCCAGCATGGGCTGCGAAATGCTGCGATTGCTTTCGGAGTCCTGGGTGCTTCTGCAGATGACGGGTTCCCCTCAGCCGACGTTGGGGCGCCCGCTGACGATCCAAGGCAAAGCATTGCGGCCGCCAGAGCAACAGTCGAACATTCATTCGCCGGGGTCTGATAAAACTATCATTCGGGAGAGAGCTGCCGCCGACTCAGCCGGCGGCGCTCCCGCGCCGAACCTGTTAGAGCCCGCGGATGTTGAAGGAGAGGGCATTGGAGGTGCCGACTCAGTCGGTGCTCTTGCTGCCCCCCCCGCTCCTCTCGCGCGTCCGACGGGGCCGATGGCCGCCCCCTCCGCGATGGCGCGCGCGGGCCGCCTCTGCGGCGCGAGGCGCCGCCGGCGCCGCCGCCGCGGTCGTGGAGCAGGAGCCGCGATGCCAGATCGCGACAAGCTTCATCATCACGCACAGAGACAGGGCAGCCGACGCCCCGGGCACGTCATGCACAGGAAGGACAGAGGGCGGAGCGCATGAGAGGGCGCGCGACCA